TCCCTCCCTGTAAAATGAAGCTACCTGCTTTTTAGGAAACTCCAGGATACTTCCTCTGGAACTACTTTTAGAAGTAAAATTAACAAAGAGTGAGTACAGAAGCATACATTACAAACACTTGAGGGCTGAGTGCTCCCTGTGTGCCAAATGCAGTGTTCCCACACATCCAGGACAGGGTCCTCAAACCAGCACCCACCACCAGCAGGAGGACTTCCCTGCTGCTTTCTTCCTTCTTTCCAAAGCCAGAATCCCCAGTATGCTTTTGATGAAAGACTGATACTGTAGAGAGATTACAAACTGTGGTGGGACAGGACTAGCCTATCACAGTGCTCCTCTGTGGTTGCACTCTGGCCAGACTTATCCTGCTGATGTCACGCTGACTGCTTCCAAGGACTGAGTCCTTGGTTTTCCTACCAATCCTGGGTCAACACAGGCAGAATACTTCTTGGGTTTAATCCATCCCTGCCAGCAGATAAACTATTTCTGAAGGGTGAAATGTAGATTCCCTTTGGGATAGGAATTTGGCACTTGGAAATTCCTGGATCATGGTTGAAAGGAGACTTGAAAACAAAGAAAACAAATTCTGCTAGAACCTGTGGCAGAAGAAGGAAGGGAGCAGAAGGAAATGATCTCTCTTAGCAAATGGCTTTATCTACCTTGTACAGGGCTGTATCTCCACCATCTGGAATATAGTTAAGTACTCACTAAAATATTTGCCAAATGGACCAAAAATATATATAAACTCATCTTCATTGTCATTGTTTAATGTTAGAATAAGTTACATATTATTCTTTTGTTTACACAGAGCCTCACCCCGCCCCCAACATCATTTTGAGATGGAAACAAGAAGCAAACAACAACTTCATTAAGCATAAGACTCAAAATCCAAGTCAAGCTAAATTCTTTCTGATCTCCAGATCTGTCAGATGCTTAATTCTTTCAGACTTATTGAAACTATGTTTGTTTATCCAAGTAAGTAAGCAGTAGCTCATAGATCTAAGGGGGCCGCTTCAGAATTATCTCCCTGTGTAAGGCAAAGGGTTCCTAAGAAGGAATGCTGGGGGCCTGATTCTACAGGTCTGTGGCTCACTCTCCACTGCCCCTGTTTTGGATGAAGTTTACTGCTTGCCTTCTTTGCAGGAATTTCCTCCAAGAATAATATCCAAATAATATTAAATAGTTTGAAGGGCCACAAATGCAGATGCATCTAATTTAGGCATCCCTGAAAAAGTAATCTATTCTCACTCACATTGACACGTTATTATTGCTATAAAAGTTGCTGTTTCTTTATTTTTATCTCTTCCAATTATTTTAATTACCTGCTATAATAGTCCCACATACCAGAAATGTGCTTAAAAACTCAAGAATTGTGGATAGGATGCCAAATATATACCAGAAATATTTGTCAAACCCTGGACCTGAATGGGCAGAGCACTGGCCTCCCCACAGACCCACACAGATGGGAGTGGATGCAACCCAACCACGAGAAAGCCCATAAAAGATGAACAGTCCATATCTACACCCAACCTTCCAAACAGCTATCTATTCTGTGTGCACAGAGAAAGATCTTAGTGCCAAATTCTTCCTAACAGTATCCTGAGGACAGAGTCTCCCTTTCCCCCCTGCATCATGTTAGGAAATCACCATCTGTGGTTGGAATGAATATCACTTCCTTTTCTTCCTCAAGAAAGAGCACAGTCCACTTTCTGACACAGGTAAGAAAAAATACTGGTTTGTTTTTCAGAAGTCAAACACTTGGTCTGTTGAATAGTGACTTCACTGATCTCCTTTCAAGTGTAAGAATGAATATCTGTACAAGTTATTTTGCTAAAGTTTCCATGACATTGGATCTAATATTCTTATTACATATTTCACTATGGAATAATAAAAAATGTAATAAAATAATAATGATATAAAATGATACCACTATACTGCAGAAAAAAATGTAGATTGAAGATATAATTCTACCACCCAAACACAATCAGGATTATCAGCATTGAATTTATTTTGTCATTATTTATTATTACTTATTTCCCATCTTTTCCTGTGACTTTTACCCAGGAAAGGTAGACTGTATACAAGTGCATTGTGTATTAAACTTACAATGCTGTATCTTGCTTTGCCCCCACTTTTGTCAACACTTTGCGGTGTTTTTTCAGAAGACTGTGACATGCTGAATCCTTCCTGCAGTCTTTCCCATAAATCTCCTTTGATAAGACACTCTCAGCTTACCTTTTCAGTCGCCCTCTTGGTAAATAACTAGTGTTTTGGCAATCTAAGAACTATGAAAGCCAGAAAAAGACTATCTGAAGATATACTCAGTACCAAGTAGACTGCTTTTAATAGCCTTATTTTTTTCAAACGAAATTCAGAAGTAACAGCCCACCACCGAAAGTGAAGTGTTGATTATAACCTTTGATACAACTATGTCTTTTCTTTATTGAGACGTGGGATTCACCCTGAAAATTCCACCCTGTCAATAGGAAGGTGTGGGCCTCTGATTTCTGCCAACCCCCCCAAAAAAAAGTGTATTTGAAAGTGAAATGTGTATTTTCACAAGACTTTGCCAAGTCACCTTTCTGTCTCCTCTGTCTTAACCTCACCTGCAGACCTGCGTGATCATGCCCTAAAGCAAGGCCTGTCCTGGATTTGTATTCTCTGAAGGGCTTGAGGAATTGGCGTATTGATCACCCAAATTCGGCTCCACCCACCTTTGGTATTTGAAAGGTTATTGCTTGGGGAAGTTGAGTTCTGTTTATCAATGTCCCCTTCCCCGGACTAGTTTCATATGACCGAGGGCTCTGGGAGGAAGTTTTGCTAGCTGGATTGTAGCGTTTTCTTCCCACGAAGAGTAGAGGAGGCCCAGATTTGAGTCCAAGTCAAATCCACTGGGGCAGCATCCAGAATAAAAACAGCGTGCTAATCCTAAACACAGTCGTCATTATAAGGCGGCCTTACACGGAATCGGGGCAGCACCCAACGAAAAGGAAGAGAAGGGGGACATAGGCCAAGGAAAGCCTTGTGGTTCTCAGACCTAGGTGGGTTTAAACTAAAGAGGGATCCGGAGAAATATGTGTTTTCAGCTCGAGTTACCCGCGAACTTTTTCCTGGAGAGAAGATCCCGGGGCAATTTACAGCATTCCAGCCCGAGGCTGCCGTGCCAGAAGCTCTGAATAAACCTTTAGAAACCGAAGCTGCCGGGAAGGACCAGGGGTGTGTAGGGAAGTAGCACCTCCAAAGACCTCAGTGCTGGGGAAGGAAAGCGAACCCTATGCTGGGCGAACGTCCCTGTTTCCTTCACAGCCCCTGGTGCCCTGGTCCACGCTGCTCGCCTTCCCTCCCAGTGGCGGCGCGCAGGAAGGATCCTGGACTCTAGGCTGTGTCACACGTTGACCAAACCTACTCGAGCCCTGCGCGCCTCCGGAGGCGGGAGAAGGCCGGTTTGAGTTTGCCCAGAACTTCGGGGGACTTCCAAAGAAATGCCAAGCCCCTGGAGGTGTTTTCGAGGAGATCGGCGAGGCCCAGAGGAGGTGCCGGGGTTCCGGAGTTGCGGGGTGAGGAGCGCCGGGGGAAATGAGGGCTCGTTTGGTCCCGCGCTGCCGACAGGGGGCGCCCTGTCACTGCGGAAGCTGTGGCCGAGCGCTCCCAGCCTCAGCGGATGACCGCCACCTAAGGGCAGGGGAACTTGCGAGGTCCGCTCTTTAGGAAGGTAGTGTCTTCCTCCCGCGAATCTCCTCTCCCGGCCCCGCTCGTTCTTTTTGCTCAAGGAATGATTTCTAGAACCATATTTTGACCAGGAGCTAAAAGAGAGAGGGGAGTGGACACATACACACACGCACAGAACAGAACATTTTTTTGAGTTTTCAATTCCAAACACCAGAAAGCTGTTTTGTCGTTGTTTCACGTAGTTTGTCTATTTGTTTGGCGTCTCTTCTCTACTGAATGTGAGAAGCACCCTGTGGGGAGGAGGAAGGGGATTGACTGTGTGTTGTGAGTGTGTGTATGTGTGTGTACACGCCTTTCTGCCCTAGGCCTGCGCAGAAAGGTTTGAAAAACAGGCAACTCCGCTTTTGAGGCGCCACTACTCACCCTTCTTTTCCAAGCCCTCCGGACCCTGTGATAGATGCTGGTGATCTGGTTCCTTTGGCTCCTCTGTGCAGAGCTACACGTATGCATGCACCCCACGACACGCTTCCCGCATGCACCGGTTCGGCCTGCCCTTCCTGGGAGCCCTCAGCGTTACTCATGGCTTCGGGCGACGCAGACCTTGGCGAATCCTGCACTCACTCAGCGGGTTCATTAACGCCCTCAGTATGAATTGGTCAAATCATCCGCTGCGTTTCAGCGCAAAGGGCGAGGCCTACCGCTGCATCTTTGATTCAAAGCGATGCGGGGCCCGCGAGACCTGGGGTAGAGGGAAGGGGTGGGAGTCCCCTGCATCTACTGCTCCTCGCTGCTTGCCTTCTAGCCTTAACCTCACCCAGTTCTTCTGTCCCCGCTGTTCAGCTCCCTGCCTGCCACATCCCTGTCTTTTGCCACCATTGCACACAACTCTGGAGAGCTGAGCCAGGTGCCCACGATTTCCTAGTTTTTATCTCTGAGGTGGAGAGCGCAGAGCTGGATCCCCAAGGCGGAGCTGGGTTTTTAGATCCAAGAAAGGGTGTCCACATTCAAACGCCTGTAATACCACCCCCTCTAGGTTCATTGGGGTCTTGGGGCTGCCTCAAGACAGATGATAATTTGAACCCAGAAGCTGGAGCGAAAATAAAAAGGAAGTATATGGTTGCTGGGGTTTCTAATTTCGTATAAAACAGCCTCTCAGGAAAGCAGGGAGGACAGAGACCCTCCTGAAGTGATTCCATGTGCCCTGTATTGATTCCTTCATTCTTTTCTCTCCTACCGCCTCATCCCCACCCCGCACCTCCTGCCCTGTTTGTTTTAGTTACGAAATGCTGTGGGCACCTTGGTTGTGACTGAAAATTAACCTTGAAACACGCCGTCCTGAATGTCAGAGACAAATTGCAGTCTCCCAACCGTCGGCTGCAGCCGGCGGGGCTGCGTACGCCTTGCGTGGGGTGCCGGGACAGCGCTCCTCCCCGCTAGCCGCCCCTCTGTCGGTCACTGGAGGCCAGGCTCCCAGAAAGCAAAAAGCCGCGGCGGACGGACAAGGCGCGCCCAGCGCCTTCCGGAGCCGCTGAGGGTCTTAACTGTAACAGGGAGGGGCCTCCCGGGAGCAGCGGCGGGCGAGTTAAAGGTGTGTACACAGTTTTTCTAAATACGACAGCGCTTTGCAAATTGGCTCTGTGACTGTCATGTTGTTTTGACAAGGAACGAGCACTGAGAGTGAAGAAACCGGGATAAATAAATGCGGCTTTTATAAAGCTCTGCAGAGGGAAACGGGGCGCCAAGGCCGGATGCGCCCTCGGACGGGCACACCAGGTGTCCAGAGCTATGGGACAGGGCGGGGGTCAGAGCCCTAGGCCGCTCCCGGGGTGTCTTCCTCTCAGGGTCCTTCTCCCAGGGGCGCGCCCAGTGGACGCTGGAGGAAAGGGGTCTGTACCCGGGATCCCGCGCGCTCACTCTCCAGGTTCGCGGGTCCCGGCACAGCATGCGTGCGCCGCGGGCGGTGGGAGCCGAAGGGCAGGTGCGGGGCGCCGGCCGCTGCTCTCTCTCACCTAGGTGTGAGCTGATTATTCAAATTGGCTGCCCGGGGTCTGGGGATTGGAGGCCAGCGCCCGCGCGCCGCGCTATATCACCAGCCGCCCACGTCACTGCGGCACTTGTCCGCTCCGCGGTCCACACCTCTTCCTCCTCCTCTTCGCCCTCCTCCTCCTTCTCCACTTTCTCTCCACCCACCCCACCCCCACTCGCCCCCGCGCCGCGAGCTTCCCACCGCCTCTGGGCAGCTCGGCACTACCAACCTCGGCCTCCACCGGGTAGCCCGCGAGCGCGGTGGCATCGGGAAACCAGCGCTGCGGGCACCTAGGCTCTGGTCTGGGCCACCTCCCATTTTCGGCCCCCTCCTCCCGCGACTCACCCCTCCCGCCCACTTCCAACTGCAGCCTCCGGCCAGCCCCGGGAGAGAGAGGGAGTGGAGTCGAGAGAGAGAGAGAGTGAGCGCGAGAGAGGGAGGGAGGGGACCGTGCTTTAGCTGACTTTTTTTTTTTTAAGAGGGTGGGGGTGGGGGTGATTGCTGGTCGTTTGTTGTGGCTGTTAAATTTTAAACTGCCATGCACTCGGCTTCCAGTATGCTGGGAGCGGTGAAGATGGAAGGGCACGAGCCGTCCGACTGGAGCAGCTACTATGCCGAACCCGAGGTAGGTATTAGCCTTTTACGGGGGATCGTGGGGTGGCGGCGTTCGCTCTTTCCCCAACCTCGGGACTTCTTTCCCTACCGGCATCCTCCCTCAACCTCCAGCCGCTCTGGGCAGCCTCCTTTTCCACCCTCCTTCGACTCAAATGGGTCTCTTTTTTATACGACACACTGTTAGCCTTGAGATAATATTAACTTTGTGATCAAATATTGACTTGCGGCGCCTCCAAATCCTCTTCGTGGCCGAGCCACGCACTATCCTAACAGAGTTATGTTTGGCAGCGTGCGGCTGGGGAGGGGTGGGAGGTCGGCGGTGAGGGGGTGGGGAGCTGTAGAGAAGGTGGGCAGGAGTTGGGGACTGAGGTAGAGGCAAAGAGTCAAAGACTAGGGGACAAAGAGAAAGTTTGTAACTGCAAAACCCAGCCGCGTGTAGTTCAGTTTGCGGTCCTCTCCTTATCTCTCCATTCAATGCCTCTGGCTGGCCTCAGACTCAGAGCAGGCACTGGGTTTCCGTACCACTGGGGCCAAGGATGGGGTCCTGGAAGAAAAACTGAATAGAGAGGACCCTGGGACAGTCTCCTCTTGAGGTCGCCCAGAGCGGCCCTGCGCGGGGTCCCACAGGTAGCTCGCTAAAGTCGAGGTGGTGTCTGGAGTCGTGGCGCCGACTTGGTATGCTGGCCGGAGAGTTGGGGGAGGGCAGATGCATTTGGGGTGCCTGGACTATGGGTACTTCAAAGACCCCTGTTTTATTGTATAATACGAGTCAAGTGCGGAAGTGCTAGGTACCAGCCACACGCACAGAGCAGCAGCCTGCTCTCCACCTCCCCAGGGGCGATCACGGAGCACTCTGGGTGAAAAGTGGTCGGTGTCAGAGGCTGGGGACCGGGCGAGGGAAGGACTCCCCAGGGGCCCGCCTGGAGGCGGGGGCCTGGGATCAGCCGGTGGGTGGGAGGTCAGGGCGCGCTTAAGCCGTGGTGCTAACAATGTGCGCCTCCATCCCCGGGCTCTGTCCGCAGGGCTACTCGTCCGTGAGCAACATGAACGCCGGCCTGGGGATGAACGGCATGAACACTTACATGAGCATGTCGGCGGCCGCCATGGGCAGTGGCTCGGGTAACATGAGCGCCGGTTCCATGAACATGTCGTCGTACGTTGGCGCGGGCATGAGCCCGTCCCTGGCCGGCATGTCCCCCGGGGCAGGCGCCATGGCGAGTATGGGAGGCTCGGCCGGGCCGACTGGCGTGGCAGGCATGGGGCCGCATCTGAGTCCGAGCCTGAGCCCGCTTGGGGGGCAGGCGGCCGGGGCCATGGGCAGCCTGGCCCCCTATGCCAACATGAACTCCATGAGCCCCATGTACGGGCAGGCGGGCCTAAGCCGCGCCCGTGACCCCAAGACGTACCGGCGCAGCTACACGCACGCCAAGCCGCCCTATTCGTACATCTCGCTTATCACCATGGCCATCCAGCAGAGCCCCAACAAGATGCTGACGCTGAGCGAGATCTACCAGTGGATCATGGACCTCTTCCCCTTCTACCGGCAGAACCAGCAGCGCTGGCAGAACTCTATCCGCCATTCGCTATCCTTCAACGACTGCTTCCTCAAGGTGCCCCGCTCGCCCGACAAGCCCGGCAAGGGCTCCTTCTGGACCCTGCACCCCGACTCGGGCAACATGTTCGAGAACGGCTGCTACTTGCGCCGCCAGAAGCGCTTCAAGTGTGAGAAGCAGCTGGCTCTAAAGGAAGCCGCTGGCGCTACAGGCGGTGGAAAGAAGGTGGCTGCCGGGGCTCAGGCCTCGCAGGGTCAGCTCGGGGAGGCCTCCGGGCCAGCCTCCGAGACTCCGGCGGGCACCGAGTCACCCCATTCAAGCGCCTCTCCGTGCCAGGAGCACAAGCGAGGAGGGCTGGGGGAGCTGAAGGGGACGCCAGCCTCAGCGCTGAGTCCCCCGGAGCCGGCGCCCTCGCCCGGGCAGCAGCAACAGGCCGCGGCCCACCTGCTGGGCCCTCCCCATCACCCGGGCCTGCCGCCCGAGGCCCACCTTAAGCCGGAGCACCACTACGCCTTCAACCACCCCTTCTCCATCAACAACCTCATGTCCTCGGAGCAGCAGCACCACCACAGCCACCACCATCACCAGACCCACAAAATGGACCTCAAGGCCTACGAACAGGTGATGCACTACCCCGGCTATGGTTCCCCAATGCCGGGAAGTCTGGCCATGGGCCCGGTCACGAACAAAGCGGGCCTGGACGCCTCGCCCCTGGCCACGGACACCTCCTACTACCAGGGGGTGTACTCCCGGCCCATTATGAACTCCTCTTAAGACAGCTGCAGCCCGGCTAGCCCGGAATAAGGACAAGAGAGGAAGTGGGGTGGAGACTTTGAGGTAGGGGTGTTGGAGAGATGCAAGGAAGAAGAAATCCATTACACCCCCACCCCCAGGACAGCAGTCTCCCTCTGTAGCTCTTCCCTCCCAAATAGATGGGCCACACTGATATGTATCATTCTATATAAGGAGGGAAAGGGGGTTGGGGGAAGATAAACAGTAAAAACGAAAAAAGCCCCCGGTTTCCACTACCTTGTAGACACCTGCTTCTTGAAGCATCTGGGAATTCTGATTTTGTTGTTGTTGTTGTTCTCCTCCATTGCTGTTGTTGCAGGGAAGTTTTACTTTATAAAACAAAACAAACAAATCCAACAAACTTTTGTGACTCATTGTAAAACCATGTAGTTTTAACAGAATCAGAGAGTTGTACTATTGTATAAAAAGAGAAAAAAAATGATGTAAGGGTCTGTTGTAAATGACCAAGAAAAAAAATGCATTCTCATTCTTGACACAGTGAAATCCAGGTCTCGGGTCTGATTAATTTATGGTTTCTGTGTGCTTTATTTATGGCTTATAAATGTGTGTTCTGACTGCAAGGACCAGAGTTCCACAAATCTATATTAAAGTGTTATTGCCGGTTTTATTCCTTGACTCTTCAAGATGTTTTTGGGTTTTTTTCCTTTGCCTGACTTAAAAAAATAAATATGTCTGAAAATTATTTAAAAGTGGAGGGAGGGAGGGAGATCCTGGCTGGTTGCAGGTTTTATTTTATTTGAGGGGTGTGTTCTTTTGTTGTTGTTTTTTACCAACATTTTATTTAAATTTTCAGACATATTGAAGTTGAACTGGTTTTACAGAAAACACACATGGACCCATTGCCCAGATCTTACAATTACCATTTCACTGTACTTATTATATTGCATATCTGTCTATCTACACCTCCATTGATCAATTCATCTTATATTTTAAGTGCATTTCAAAGTAAATTTCAGACATCAGTACACTTCCCCCTAAACACTTCAGTAAGCACAGCATTAAATAGAACTCAATGTTGTTTATGGTTACTTTCTGGATTTTAAGTTTATCTTTATACACAATGAAACACAGATCCTAGGTTGACCAATTCCATGTGTTTGATGCAGGTTTATCTTTCAAGCCAGGAGCAAACCACATATCTTAATTTTCCACCTGGGCTATGTGAAGGTACAATGTCATTGACATCTCTTGGGCCTTAGGGCAGGCTTCCCTGGGGAGAAGCCTGGATTTTACATGTCTTACTGTATTTCCCATCTTAGTCCCCCTACAAGTCAGTAAGCCCAGATTGAATTTGCAAATTCCTGGTGCAGCACTTGGCCTTTTCATCACTTCCTCTCTGTGTCACCCCTTTACCCTCCTGTGGAATTGGAATTCTGCCTGGATCTTACAGCCTCAGGCCTCTGTCTACATTCAGTGACCCTATCCCAGCCTCCTCCTTCACTTAGGTGCTCTGCACAACCTTGGTAGACCTAGCTGCAGGCCAAGATAACTGAGGTGTCTGGGACACCGGTTTGGAGAAAGAGAAGACTTTTTCATGGGTTGGTTATAAGAACATCATTAAGGGTAATGTTCCAAATCTTCTCTTTAAGGCATATTTGGGGTGAGATGGAGGTAAGGGGATGTCTTGCACGGCTTGCCAAGTGACGGTGGCCAGTGGGAAGATCCTAGGGTCTGAAGATTCTCTTCCTCCCCTCACCCCAAACGCTGACGCCCTAAAGCAGGGAGCGTCCTGTTAGCCCCGATTGGCAAGCCAGTATTGCTGGGCCAGAGGATGAGGGGTATATTGTGAGCCTTAAAGGAAAACCCAAAAGTATAAAACCCAGAATAAATTCTTACAACTGTGCTATCTCTCCTCACAGACAGCCTAGCCGCCCTATATCGGCGGCCAACCGTCTGGAAACCCTGAAGGCGAAGCCCCGTCAGGGTGTGCAAAGGGGGCCCGGCTTTGGCTTTGCCGGGGCATTTGCGGGTCTGCAAGTTGGCCGGGGGAGGTCAGCAGCCAGTGTCGTCGCGGGCCCCCCAAATTTTGGGCCATCCCGCACACAGCTAGTTTGCAGAGGGTAAGAACTGTCCTCAAGCCTCCGAGACCAAGACTTTTTGCTTCTGGTTTCTAAAGCCCATGCTTTGTTTCTGGGACTGATCTTTGAGCTTCCAGACCATCCAGACCTGGAGTGTCCCAGCTTCGTCCCACCCCTGGAGACAGCCTCTCCGTGCGTCTTCTGCCACCTTGCGCGCTCTCTGCCCCCTCAAACCCTGGCCTTCCCACGCGCTGGGGTGGGGTGTGCCTTCGCCTACGCCACCCCCTCCGCTTCTAAATCCTTTTTTAAGACGCCACATTGTCCCGAATAACACAAGGAAGAGAAATTGGGCGGGGGGGGGGGGAGGGTGGTATCCGGAGGCCGCATCCAGCTATCAGGACTGTCTCTCCGCCTGGCAAGGACACACACGTCGTGAGCCCAGCCTGAAATGTGTTTCATTATCACATAAAAGGCTCCTGTGGCGAAGGAGCCGAGAGGCAGGGCCCGGGGCAGAGTGAGGGACAATAGAGGCTGAAAGCGCTGCCCTAACCTGCTCTGTTTCGTATCACACGCCCATTGTGCGAGGGTCGTTTTAAACTACTTAGCGCGTCCCCCTTCACTGATCCCGGCGGATAAGATATAGTTCTTTCCGAATGTCCGGGAGTGGGCGCTTTCGGAGGTTTCTGCGCTTCTTGTGTCTTTCACATAACCCTACCCTGGGCTATCGCCCCCTCCCCCGCCCGGGCTCCAAGTTTACTAACTCACAGATCGCCTTCCTCCCACTTTCCCCAACTCTTAAGTATTGTAGGATGCAGCATTTCTTTCTTTTCCCCCTTCTCTCTCTTTTTTCTTCCTTTTTTCCTTGCCATCCGCGCGCGGGTTTAAGCAACCGTGATCTGTGAATAAACAAAGTCAGTAAACAACCGAAAAAAACATTCTAGATCCGAATTCCAGGAGGGTAAACTTTCCATGCCACGTCATACTTGGGCAAATTTGCACAGATATTATATTGCCTCCCCCCTCCTTTATTATTCTTTTTTTCCAGGATCCCATTGTACTTAACTGAATTTTATAACGCTGATCGATATCTTGGTAAAATATTCATTTTTAAACTAGCGGGCAGTGAAATCTTTGCTTTGTGTGCTAAAGTCAACAGTCGCTGGGTTTGAGCTCAAATAAATGCAGGGATGCCTGGGCTCGAAGCAGTCGGCCGCCTCCCTCCGTGCGCTGGACGCTCCGCGGTCCGCCAGCCGGCCCTGAACACAGCAGGTAGGGAGCGCGCCCACTCCAAGGCGGCGCCGGGAGCCCCTCCGCCCTGTGCGCCCCAACTCAGGTCAACGCACCTCCTCTCCTTCAGGTAGTCCTCCCTCCTAAGGGCCTGGACGCCTGGGGGTTGGGGAGTCGCGGAGGAGGGAGTGAGAAGCTAAATCAGTGAAGACCAAGGGGGTTGGAAGGTGGCCTTCCCCCACCCCTCCCTCACCCACTTCCCCAGAGGATTTCTAAGAATGCACAGTTTGGGAAGATGAGAGTTCGAAGAGTTACCAACTCGGAATAAATCTTGGCTCTGAACACAGTTTGTTGGGGCTCCGAAACTATGGGAAACCCCGGCCGGCCCCTCCAGCCACTAGGGCCTGGGGATTCGATCTGAGGGCCCCGCGTTTCCCAAGGACAGTGGGGAAGTGGGGGTTGGGGGGATGACCTTGGTCTCAGAGTCAGGGGTAGGGGTCAGCGGGAAATGGCTTGCGGGTAGCGGGTGGTTGCAGAGGCTGAGGTCCGAGAGTGACAACGCCCTCCCTCGACGTCCACGGGTTCGAGTCCCGCCTCGACGTTTCCCTGGAAGCCCTAGGGCCCAGGCGGCGGCTGGGGTCCGCGCCATCCGGGAGCAGGGGAGGGACAGCGCCTCTCTGAGTACAGCGTGAACTTTTCGTTCTGGAACAAGAAGCGGCTGGTGGTCTTTACGCGTAGGCGCGCACGGCTGCAGGCGCGTTTGGGAGCCTGCGGGGTCACGAGCCGGGTCCAGGAAGGAAAAGGCAGAAACCTGTAGCGGTGCCATTTATTACCCCACTCTCCCCGCGCGTGGCCAGGTAGGGGCGTGCTGCAGTGCCTGAGGATGCGAGTTTGGAGGATCGAACAGAAACGAACGCATCTTTCTCGGAAGGCGTGGGCTCGGAATACTAATGGTTCGGATGTTGCCAAATTGAAACCGCAGAACCCTCAGTTTTCGAGGGCAGGGTACAGAAAAGTATGTCTTTGTTCTGGGGTCTACCAGGTACCCCCCTCAAATCTGCATCTCCCCAGGAGGTCTAAACTGCTGCATATCCGGCCTGTGAGAGGCTCAGGCTAGCTTGGTTACTCTGGGTATTTCACCAGGTGGTGAGACACCCTAAGTACCCAGCCCACTAAAATTGCCTGCCACCCTAACTGGAAAGATCTTCCAGTCTACGCCAGAGTCCCAAAATCTCGAACCCAAATGAGCAGAAATAGGTCCCAGTAATTGGCAGGGTCAGTTATGTGGGCACCTCCATGTGTGGGGACGCTGGGTCCCCTCCCCTCTTTCCCTGGCGCCCCGGGCCGCACGCCTTTGTCCACTGTCCCGGGGGCCGGCTGGGGAACAACGCGCCCACCACCTTCTAAGCGCTGGCCTGGCTCGCGTGGTTGGTTATCTTCCCTGAACAAGATGGAACGCCTGCAGGACACACAGCCACGCTAATTATTATTAAATAATCAATGCCTCCCCGTTCCGCTAGTAATGCGCGGCCTAGAATCCGTCAATTAATTGTCATTAGACGTGTGTCGCCCCACGGCCTTCCCTTGGGCCTCTGACAGCGCCAGGTCACCTAGCCCAGCCCACTCCACCGCCGAATGAAAAGGTGCCCATCTTTTAAGAGCCTGGTGCGAAATAGCCACGGCCCTTAATTCAGTGCGACTTTTGAAAGAAAGCCCCTCTCTGAAAAGATGTAATCTTCCAAATGGCCAATTTAAACGCCTGATCTTTATCTTCCATCTTCCCCTGGTTTTATACAGAGAAACTGGACCTCAGTGCTTTGGGGGCCTTTTAATGTGGGTGTGGGGTCGGGAGAAACGAGAGATAAGGCTTAATAGGGAGGAGGGGGAGGTGTTTGCTCAAGAAGGTACCTTGGGGTAACTGGTTTGATCAGGGGCAGTGCATCTGTCTAATCACCGGGGTTGAAGGGTCTGCCGGCTTGCGATGGGGAGGGGGTTGCTGAGACACTATCTGAACGTGTAAGCCAGAGCTGTCTGGGAAAAAGTGGGAGGGCGTTTTCTGGCCGTGAATCTTCGACCTGCAAGAGGCGATAGGAAATGGAACATTCTCTGAGTCCCCACCCACCACGCACCCGGCATTGCGGAACAGTCGGTGCAGTCGGCCCATAGACTTGTAGGGCACCAAGTCCTGCTACACAGAAGAGACACCCCCCCCACACACACCTCAGTGCCAATAGTCCCAATCTGCTGTCCCCTGCCGTAGCAGAAGAGCAAGATGTAAGATCCTAAATACCTTTGCTAGATCAGGGACGCCCTGGACGCCAGCCCTGCCGGCAGCACTATGGCAACCCAGGGCAGCCAAGGGTTGGTGGA